TTATGCCGGTGGCTGGAACCGCAATCGAGCCTAACTATCAAGAAGAGAACTTTAAGCCCAACCGGTGGCTGCAACAGCAGCTGGTGGTGGAACAGCAGCATCCCATCCATCTGATGCAGCAGCAACAGAGAAACAAACATTAGAGCATTACGGTTTTCAGATACAGAGAGATACAGGACGATGAACAAGTGTTTGAACTTTGAAGAAACTAACCTCCAACTGTAGGTGCAGCAGAGATAGGTTGTTCGGCTTCACCAGGCCATGCAGCATCAGGGATCGCAGCAGTGGTCCATTGGTCCCCACCAACAACTCCATATTCTGGAGCAGGCAGACCAAATTCCATCTGTGGTGCAGCTTCTTCGTCCTCTTCTTGCTTTGCCTCTTCGGGCTCCCTGTAGAAAAACAGATCCACCTGCACAATGGCAACATGTCAAGCATTTGTTTGGTGTTGGACAAACACTAAACTTCTAAAACTAAAATGTTACTAGTCTTTTACCATGACATCCCATTTCTGAGCTGGACGAATGGTTCCACGCATTTGAAGAACCATACGAGCCAAAAGCCAGAAAAGGCAACCAATGCTGTGTTTCCCCTTGTTGTTAGCAGGAATACCAATGTCGATGAATCCCATTGGAGAATCCGTGTCGCAGAAAGCAATGGTTGGAATGTTTCCCAAAGCACCTTCCTTAATTGGCTGGCAACACAAAACAAAGACATGATCAGCAAACACAAAATCTACAATTAGACAAGAAATGAGGTTAATCGAATATTCTATTACCTGATGATCGGTTCTCGGGTCAGTGAGGATCAACAACCTTGGCTCGCTGAAAGAAGTCTGCATCTGGTTAGTGAAAGTACCAGGAGTGTGTCTTCCAGCAATTGCATTAACACCAGTATACTGAGCAAACTTCAATACAGCTCTCTGACCATAAGGCCTAGCTGATTGAACAATAATGTCTTTCGGGTTTTCGATTGCCACAATAACCCTAGCAGCCAACTGAAGCTTATCCCATGTCTGTCCTAAGTTGATGATGTAAATGCCTAAGCAAGAAAGAAAACAACTTCAATAAACTGTAAATTCCCATATCACTCAAAACATCAAATCAAATCGAAACTCAGAACACGAAGGATACCAGAAACTCAATGTCAAATCCAAGCAAAATCGACTATAGAAATTGGGAGAAACTACGAATTCGAAAGCTACTCAGATCAATACAGAATTCCGTGAAACCCTAATCGTAGCGTCTATATACAATGAAGATGGGGTTAAGATGAGATTTACCATCGTTGCGTCTATTGTAGACATAACGGTCCATTTGATAATTGCAGTTTTTGGTACCAAGGTGTACATCGGCCGCTAACATCATCAGAATATCAGCTTCTTTCTGTGAGTGCTGACGAGTCGCCGGAGCTACTCCGTTCGCCGCCATTGTCTACGTCTCTCTGGTTCTTCCTCTTCTCCTTAAAACCCTAAATGTGTTTCACTCAGTAAATAAGGACAAGTCTGTTGACGAAAGGGAAAACCCTAAAAAGTGTGATATATATGGGTTTGCAAGCCCAAACCTAAAAACGATAGAGCCCAAAACAACAATTTTTTTTTTGTGTGCTCAAAAGCCCAAAACCACAATTATCTTCACTATCTACTAAATTAATGAATTGATTCATTTTCAGACGAACAAGCTCTCCAAGTTAATTGTAATTGAATTTATGAATTGCATAAAATTAGAGAAAAAAAAATTCGTGTAGTTTTTGGCTAAATATGATCAAAACATGCCACATCTTATTTTATATGAGATATTTGCATAAAATAAATTAAACAAAACTACTCCATCTAGATTTTCTTAACTTATCAAAAATATATCTATGTTAATAAATAAAAAACTTTATTATTTACAAATTTGACCATATTTCACCACTTTTAACAAAACAAAAAGTAAACTTTATTTCACTACTAAAAAATAATTTATGGTTTCAAAAAAAAAAACTTTATTTCATATTTCAAAAATAAAATAAAATTATTGTTACATGGCCCTTATGATTTCATTCCATAATCTCATTAACAATATAAATATTGTAAACATGTATAATAACCTTAGAACATGATGATATGTAGTAAATATTATTGGGGTAATATATGAATTTTATAATATTAATTGTATTGGGACTGATGAATATAGAGAAAAAGAGGAGAGATAAAGAGAAATGTTATATTTACCCACTAAATATAGATTCTATATTTAAAAACCCAAAAATGGTTTGGGTAAATATAAAAATTTTATAATAGTAAAAATCTCTTATATTTACTTTTATTTACCACCCATAATCATGTCTTTATATATTACCTTTCACAAAAACAAAAAACAAGAGAGCTTCTAGCATTTGGTTGATAAAGACGATCGTTATAGCGATGTCTTTGATGATCACTTCACTTCCCCTAGACATCATTATTGAATGTGTATCTCGTGTACCTAGACGTTTCTATCCAAGCCTTTCTCTCGTTTCCAAATTCTTTCGATCTCTTATTGCATCCTCCGATCTATACGCGAGACGGGCTCTTATGGACCGTACCGAAATATGTTACCATTTCACTAACCGATAGTGTCGATGGTCACGGTGACAGAGACATCCATTGGTACACTCTTCGTCGAAAACCCAACTCGACATATACCTTGGTCCCTATCACATCACTCCCTCAAACCCCTCATGCACATGGCAGCCACGTAGCCGTTTGTTCAAAAATCTTTTTGATGGGTAAAAATCCGTTACTCATTGATTGTCGGTTTCACACGGCACGTAACCTCCCTAACATGCCAAAGGAAGTCCCTATTTCTCTTTCTGCTGGTCTCGTTAAAGGGAAAATATATGTAGTTGGAGAAATGCATTCATGTCGTTGCCCATTTAATCCTCAAGGGGTCAAGGATCTAATGGTGTTTGACATAAAAACTGAAACGTGGTAGTCTAGAACGAGACAAGACACAGCGGTGTGCAATTGCGATACATTTTGTAAGAATGTGGTGACGTGGGAGTCTACAACGGACGTAGAGGTGTGCAATTGCGATAGATTTTGTAAGAGTGCGGTGACGTGGGATAATAAGGTTTACTTCCGTTGTTTTGGTTACGATCCGAAAAACGATAAATGGGAGACACACGAGATACTAAACTCTATGTGGTGGTACGGTAATGGATGCGTTATGGAAGGAGTAATGTACTGCTATAGTCGAGCTTTGAACAAGTTGTTTGCGTATGATTTCAAAGAAAGGTCTTGGAAAGTGGTCAAGGGCGTGGAAGGGTTAATGGGTGTGCGTACTGTTTGGCCACGAACGGTGATATACAATACAAAGGTGGTGGTGGTTTTCCAGAGAGAGCTTGCTGGTACGAAAAGCGAAATTTGGTGTGCAGTGATCAAAGTGGAAATGGATCAAAAGGGAGAGATTTGTGGAATAGTTGAGTGGTGTGGTTGTGGTTGTGTGCTTGATAATGGACAGTGGCCTCATGTCATAAACTGTTCATCTGTTGATGTTTGATCATTTGAGGGGTTCTAGTTAATTTTTCTTGTTTTCAAATTTCATATGTTAGCTTTGTGTTTGTTAATAAATATTGCTTTTTTTTGTTCATCTAAAATGTTTTTTGTTAATGAATAGCACTCAATCCTAACCAAATAAGCAAAAGGAAATATTTTAAAATGTTATTAAAATTACTAGTGCAAATAAGCAATCGCAAGTTCTAGTCTATTTCAATTTTAAAAAGCTTTCAAAAGTTAAGTGAAAAAAGAAAGAAACCACACGAGAAACATTAGAAATCAAAGGGATATATGATCATTATATGATTAGAACCCTTTTGTTTACTCAGTGATCTTCAATCTTTTTCAACCCCTTCATATCAGTTGTCTCCACCCTGCAATTGCACATAATGGAACAGCTAAGATCAAGACTCTCAAGGCATGCAATATCTATAACAGACTAGTGACACAAGATTTCGGAGACTTACGTTGAGCCATAGAGAGCGATCTTCTGGACCTTTGTGACCTCAGAACCTGATTGGTTGTCTTCGATGAAGATCGTCAAGCTTGAATTAAATAGATAAAAGTTAGATCGAGATTGTGATTTCGCTGAGTAGTAGCATTATATAACAAAGAACATGGTAAAACCATACCTGCGGACATTCTGAAACTTAACGTATTTAAGGACCACCGGCTTTCCCTGTAAACGGATTTGAACAGAGGTCTCAAGACAGATAGATCACCAAGAAAACAAGTCACAAGATGAATAAAGGCACCTTTCAGAAATATCTTACCTTGAGGTTTTCTTCAGTTAATTCAGCGGAATCGCTTGGAGGAAAATCATTGACATTGCTGTATTGTTCAATATATCCGTCCGTTAGAGTTTGAATTAAAGTCAGGATGATCATCAGAGTTAGATACGGATAAGAAAAAAGATTCACATTACCTGAAGCACATGTGCTCTTTGTTTGAGAAAAACTTCACGGTTTTAGGACCTGAAGAAAGGTTTATAATCAAACAAAAGTTTAATCTCACCGACAAAACAAGTAACATCCCCACATATCTAGAATCCTATCTCCATTTTAACAACAAGAAGTACTTTTAAGCAAGACTAAAAATCACAAAACACCGACAATGCTTTCGAATATAGAACACCAACTTTACCAATCTCTCTTTTTTTATTAACACATTACCTTCCTCTTCAGGGCCCTTGATGGCAAAGGAATGTAGTTTGATAACTTGGTTAAAAGGAATATAAATCAGAAGTTGCTCATCAGCATCACTCTCTAAGTTTAAACCTTCATCTTCTCTATATCCCTACACGAACATGTAAATCATTCTCAGGTCAAAAAACACCAACATCACAGGGAATCATGAATTCCAAAAGCTATAATTTGGGGATAATCACGCAATATCACTGCATCAAACCCCGATTTTGTACTCAATCATCTATATCTAATCTCACAGATACATACATAGACAATCAATAAGAGAGAAGAATAAACCTGCTTAAGAGCATTGGGCAAAGAGTGACTTGAGCTTTGGTTGAGGCATTCAACACCAGACCAGTCAATAAAATCTAGCAGATCAACCTTAAAATCAAACACACACAACATCAGAAACTTCGACGACCCAAGCTTCGAAATTCCCGATAAGAACCCTAGATATCTCTCACACACACTCAAAAATTCCTTTTTGAAGAAAACCCATCAAAATCTCTACAAATCTTCGTGAACTAACCTGTCCCTTAGGAATTTGGCTGGCTGATTCGGCAGACATCGTCGTCGCTTTTCAAAGAGAACGCTCAAGATCTCGAGAGTAGAAAGAAAATTATTAGACTTTAACAAGACGAAAACAAAAGGTTCCTTTTTGTTCTCGGAGAAACAGAAAAACGACGACGTTTATTAAACACTCTGATTAATTTAGCAGGTTTATTATTATCCTCACCGAACCAAAATTTGACCTTTAAATTTATATTTCCAATTATACCCCTATACCAACTACAAAACTCTGAAATCTACCCCTTACCTTCCTCTTCCACTCAAAAACCAAACCTTTCAATTTCGTCTCTTCTCCAACCATTCCTCTCCAATGGCTTCCTTATCCTTCGTTTCTTCTTCTCACCTTACTCTACGTACTCCTTCTCTTAATCTACGCACAGGGGCTTCTCCTAGAACCTCCGTTTCATTCTCCGTCAAAGCTCAGTCCGTCGCACTTTCGCAAGACGATCTGAAGAAGCTCGCGGCGGAGAAAGCTGTAGAAGCGATTAAACCAGGGATGGTTCTAGGTCTTGGAACCGGATCAACCGCAGCATTCGCCGTTGATCAAATCGGAAAACTTCTCTCTTCCGGCGAACTTTACGACATCGTCGGTATCCCGACTTCGAAACGAACGGAGGAACAAGCACGTTCCTTGGGGATTCCTTTAGTTGCGTTAGATACGCATCCGAGAATCGATCTAGCTATCGACGGAGCAGACGAAGTAGATCCGAATCTGGATTTGGTCAAAGGTCGTGGTGGTGCTCTTCTTAGGGAGAAAATGGTGGAAGCTGTAGCGGAGAAGTTTATCGTTGTGGCTGATGATACGAAACTTGTGAAAGGATTAGGTGGAAGTGGATTAGCTATGCCTGTGGAAGTTGTTCAATTTTGTTGGAATTTTAACCTAATTAGGTTACAAGATTTGTTTAAGGAATTTGGATGTGATGCGAAGCTGAGAATCGATGGAGATGGGAAGCCTTATGTGACTGATAATAGTAATTACATAATCGATTTGTATTTTAAGGAACCGTTGAAAGATGGATTTGCGGCGGCGAAAGATATCGGCAAGTTTGAAGGAGTGGTGGAGCATGGTTTGTTTCTCGGGATGGCTACGTCGGTTATTATCGCCGGGAAAAATGGTGTTGAGGTTATGAATAAGTGAGAGAGGTTTTTAAAT